ACTTGGTATGGGTTAATGAAGAAATTAAAGCTAATGGACTTTATTTTGGCGTTGCTTATATTCTTTTATGGCCCATTGATCTAGGTCAGGTCAATTGAGCCCCTGCCCAGATTAATTAAAAAAATTAAAACAAATAATTCATTCATCAAAACAAATATGATATTTTATTTAATTATGACTTCAAAATATTTAAATTTATATGAATTCCCTTTGATATTGTAAACAGTAAATAGTTTTTTTTTAGTAAAATCTGTATAGCATTTATAAGTTCTATAGTATTTGTACTATAAGCGTGTTTTAATTATTTCTATTATTTTAGTTAAGTAGCGCTTTTTTGTGTTGGTTGTGCAACGGCTACTTTAAGCTTTTCTGACCGTTGGAAAGTCTGTAGTTTTTATTGTTCAGATTAATGAATTTCATCTTCTTCCTTTAACGATCTGTATTTCTCTCAACATAAACCCTAGTTTTAAGGATTAACAAATCAAAAATTGCAAATATATATAACTTGATCATAATTAAAAAAAAAAATTGAATCTATTCAATAATTCATTATGAGTCCAAAAGTCAAACCCCCTTTAAAAAAAAATAAAAAAAAATCATTCATGCTAACAACTAATTAGATAGAGGATAAAGTCTCGTAAGCCTTTAATGTAATGAAAATTAATAATAGATTTTTTTTTATTTTTTTTAATAATAGGTTTATTCTGGGTACATTGGATGTGGCACATATGTTAAAATTTTACAATTTTATCATAATAATTAAAATTGTTCTTGACCCAATCAGAAAATCCTGTAATTTGAAAAATGTGTGGAGCCATTGATCCAACGGCCCAGAAAAAACCCTGATAGGACCACATCAACACCGTCGACAGATAGTCTTCCAAAATTGGCGAATTTGTGTTCAATGCTAAATTCATGTTCGACCCAATTTTGTTCATTAATTCATTTTTTGAACATCGATAATTACGTTAATTGGTGGGGAATAGCTTGCCCCTCCAACTACATGCAATGTTGACATATCATATATCATATATATATATATATATATATATATATATATATATATATATATATATATATATATATATATATATATATATATATATATATCTATATATATATCTCTATCTA